TGACCAGCAGAAAAAGGTGCGAGGGGAAAAAAAAAAAAAAAGGTGTTGGCTCCAGCTAGCTGCGTCACACAGGGCAGTCAAAGCCTTTTGTCGCATGCCCAGCGCCAGATGGGAGGCCAGAGGCTGCGCAAGGAGCGCGCTGAAGGAGGAGGCAGCAAGGAGGACTGTGGGGTCGGACGCAAGCCCGCTTGCTGCGTAGCCAGGGTCAAGCTCCCTACACGCCTGCGCGCACCCTCCAACCGAGGCGAGGTAAGCGGCCGGTGCATCGCGAGCAACCGAGCGCAAGCCAAGGCCGGCATGAGCCAGATCGCGGGCTGCCTGCTCCCACTGAACGTCAGCCAGGTGGAGGCCAGTGAGCCCCGAGAAGCAGTCGCGGACTAGAACATCAAACTCAGAGAGGCTGGCATTCTCCCCAAACAGCGGAGCGCAGCGGAGGCTGTGGGTCAACTTGCAGTGGCCAGCGCAGGAACGCAACAGGCGAAGACCAACCTGCGGATCCTCTAGTTCTCCCAGAGCCTGCAAGAGAGGCCGGGCGGCCTGCACCCGAGCAGCAGCGTGGCCGGCCATGTAAGAGTCGTCCCCCACTGGCGCTCCTAACAGCTCAAAGCTACGTTGCACACGGCTGGCGCCGTCCGGGGTGCTCACTAGCTGACGTGGAAAGTACGGCAGCAGGGCAGCTTCAGGGAAGTCCCCAACGCTGACAAGTTCGCACTTCAGCAGGTTGAGCTCCAGGCCGAGCTCGGCACTGCGCAGGTGAAGCGCGGAGGCAACCGCAATGACATCGCCGGCCAGCACCCCGTCATCAAGGTAGAAGAAGGAGAGGTCAAGGCCAACAGAAGCTTCCCTTAGCATGCGGGCAAGGGGCTGCCGGGTGGCCGCAACAAACAACGGCCCAAGGGGGTCGCCCTGCTGGACACCACCCGCCGACATGATGGTGCTGGCCCCACCGAACTGCAAGTGGGTGGGTTGGGCATAACACCAAACAGCGAACCGGGCCAGGGTAGGGAAGTGGGAGGCTATGGTGGCAAGCATGGCTTGGCGGGAAAGGCAATTGAAGGCGTTGCGAAAGTCAAGTTTCAACAAAACTTTGCGGTTGCCAGCAGCCTGTTGTCGCGAGAGCCAAGCACGTGCAGTGTGGACAGCCGTTTCGGCACCCGCCGGAACTCCGACACCAAGCTGGGCTGGCCAGAGAAAAGCACGGGCCTCCTCTCGAACGGCTGTCATGAGGCACTTGCCAGTGAGGCGACGCATCACTTCTCCTATGGCTATGGGCCTGACGCCACCCTTGGGTTTGGGAACAGCGACCAGGGAAGCACCAGCCAGAACCGGCGCAGCAGCAGCGCAGGCCTGCCCTCGGGCCAGGAGGTTCACAACCGCCGCGAGTTGCTCCATGAGAACCAGGGTGTCACCTGGCTGGCGAGCTTTTCGCAGGTGCTGGACGCGGAGTCCGGGCGGACCCGGGGCAGTGTCAACAGGAAAGGCACGAAGGGCCTTAGCGACCTCATCCGGCACAACCTCATGCGCAAGCGGCAAGGCCGCAGTGTCGACCGCCACTGCAGGCTGGCTGGGGTGAAGAGCACGAAGGGCCTCAGCAGTTTCCGGGGTGTCAGGGCAGAGGCCTTCCGCAACCAAAGCATCACAGGCTTTGCGGTCGAATCCTTCCCTGGCGAGTGCAGTGGCAAGTTCACGCCTTTGCTCAGCCGACCGTTTGCGTGGGGCGCCGCGAGCAGGCCGGTGGCGGTCCTCCCACAAAGCCTGGCGGTCCCCCTCCAACCATCGCTGAAGGCGGTCCTTGGTGTAGGCGGCGGCAGCCTTATGGTGTTTGCGGCCGCCTCGCGGCGGCGAGCAGAGGACGCACTGCGGGCGCATGAGGAACTCCCGCCAGGCACGTTCGTCATTGCACTGCGCGACGTCGGCAAGTGCGTGAGAGAGGGCCTTGCCCCACAGAGAGCGTGCAGCTGCAGGGACGTGACGCAAAGTACGAACCCCGCCGGCCTGGATGGCTGAGAACGAAGGCAGGTCGTGCACCGAACCTGCGCGCGGAGTGCCGCCGTCCACTGCAGCTCTGGCAGCGGGACGGCAGGTCGGGTGGATGCTGTGTCGACAAGAGACACTCAGACCACACACACCACATCGCTGGCGACGCTGGGAACGCAGCCACTCAGTAGGGACATCCCCTTGGAGCGTACCGGCGAGGTGGGCATCAATGTGGGCTCGCATGGAGTTGTTGTCTGCCCAGCCTTTGGCCCGAGCAGCGTCACCTTGGACACAACCTGGCACAGGGCAGTAAACACGCGGAGGCCCCGCAGCATCCACCTCCATGGATGGGCTGCGTGCCCGCCGACGAGGCCGCTCGCCACCGACAGGGGTACCAGGGGCACCTGGTCCGGGATGAGCCGCCTCACCAACTCGGCATCCACGAAGGGGCCAACCCGACCAGAGCTTCTGCCTGCGAGGTTTGCGCTGACCCCATGTCTGCCGCTGGCGCTCGAAAAGACGTCGGGGCCGACGTCGTGGGAAATGAGGCAGTGTAGCCTGCGAGCACCAAATACTGTCGTGGGCACAGGGCTCACACACATCAGGAGCCCAGGCTAGGGCGAGTCGCTGTGTCAGTGCACGCCGTGCGCGACGGCCCATCTTAGGCAAAGGCAGTGCTAGCCAGACTTGCGATGGAGGCGAGCGGTCCAGCAGCAAGGGAGCGCGGAATATGTCCGCAGCCGCCCAAGCGACAATGCTGGAAGCCTAAGCAGGTGCGGCGGGGCCGCGGCGGCTGAGACGCTTGCCAACGAGCTCCGCGTAGCCCCGGCAGTCAAAGAAATTTGTCACGTACTCAGTCCAACAGGTACTTCCATGTTCCCATCCTGATATAGAACCTTTTCCAGCCAAGTAGTACCAATCCTAGAAGCGGGACATGAACTCCTCACTCTTGGCCCTTTCATCACGCTCTCCAGAAAGCCCATGGAATATTCACCCCATTAGCCGCTCCTTGTAAGCCTCATGTTCTCACCGCTCTATAGTTCGCTGACTCTCTTGACCAAAAGCACCAAGAAATCGCCCATCCAACTCACGGCTTTCACGCTCACTACGTTCATTCACCTATTCACTTCTTTCCATTGCATTCTTTTCCTTCACCCCTTTAATACCGTGAAGCGAATGCAATTACAAGTAAACGACGTGAATAAATGAACGAGTTTGCGCGTGAATTGCATGAACTTTACTTTCATAATCTTGTTTGCGCTTGTAATTTAATTGTAAACTTGTGCACGATTTAAATGAGAAAAGCGCACACAATATTATTAAAGTGAAGAAAACTAAATCACCTCACAGAATCTCCCATTAAATTATTACGTGAATGAAGTGAATTAAATTAAGGCAGTTCATGTATTCACGCTACATTCACACTAATAATTTGCCCTTTAATTTTATTTGCATGGCGCACGAATAAGGCTTTTTGTACTGTGCGCCCCTAACTTCGTTCATAATATTCACCCCGGCTTTCATGCGTCCTTTTAGTCCTTATAAAGCCGGGTTAATATTACGAAGAAAATTCTATTTCAATGGTGTTTCAATGAACGAAGTGAAGCGAGAACAAAAAAAAGAACACAATGAAATAGAATGAACGAAGAGAACGTAGTGCACGCCTCATAAAAAGACTTACTATTTGGCGTGCATTATTCTTTTCTCTATTTTTCTTCTTTCTTCATTTCTTTCCTAATTTTGCTTGTTGTTCAATTGAGTTCATGCGTCATTCATATCTTCACTCCTTATACCTCAATGAAACAAGCAAAATAAGAGAATTAGAATGATGAATCCAGTAAAATACACGGGCTAGTACATTATAAGGCCCGTGCATACTATTCATGATTTGGATACAACTGCCAAGGGGCGTTCATCAATGGTCTAGTTTCCTGGCTCATGATTCTAATGTGACTTCCTGGTTGGTACGGTCTTTAGGGTGGATTCGTGAGTGAGGTTCGTTACCAGGCTTATAAGGGGTGACTCAAAGGGGGCGTTAACAGGGTCTCAAGGTGTGATGGGTGAACAAGGGCGTATTATTCCCAAGAGCCAGAGAACTAGTGATGGATGGTACGGTTTCTAAGTCAAGATGTGTCCAAGAGTGACAGATGGTGATTGGTACGTAGAGATAGAGGTTAGGTGACAGGGAGAGAGCGGTTAACCTGGCATGCGATTCCAAGGGTGTGAACGGTTAGACCAAGATATGAGAGTTAGGGTCTCAAGGTGTGATGGGTGAACAAGGGCGTTTCCTGTCCAAAAGGTACCAAGAACGCCTGGAAAGATAGACCAAGATATGAGAGTTAGGGTCTCAAGGGCGGATTCATGGTATTAATGGTTGGCCCTTGCGGTCGCCAGCCTCGCCGGCGGCGGCCCCGCGCGCCCCGGGTCGCCGCTGCCACCAGCGCTTGCCGTAGCGACAGCGACAGCGCGCGCACGGAAGTCCCTGAACGCAGCAGGTCCCGGCCTCTGGGAACTGCTCGATTCGGCAGGCTTTCACGCAAGCGCTCAGCGAGCTCCGCGCGGTCGCCGCATCTTGCCCTGCAGCCAGCCAGGTCGGTTCAGCTCGAGCGGCACGGGCCTGGAAGCTGTTCCTGCTCGTGCCACGCATGCTGCTCACGCGGGTGGCGCCACAGGGCTCCCAACGGCGAGCAGAATTGCTTGGCCCTTTCTGCGGCATTCCAACGTGGCGAATGGACCCGGCTCATCCGCAGTGCTAGGCTACCGGAGCTGCCGCCCGACGAGGTTTCCGAGCGTAAGCGACACCAGGCGTGCGCAAAAGTGCGCCAGGGCGAGCTGTCCCGGGCTCGCCAAGTTCATCCACGTTCTGACTGCGGCGGAACTCGCGCCTGGCACGGAGGCTACATGGCGTGCGCTGACCAACCCCGAGCGGCGACCTCCGCGGCCACGCTGGCCCATACCGGCGGAAGTATTGGCGTACGAACCCGAACGCCCCGTCCAGCTTGCAGCTGGATGGATCAGTGGCCATGGCGCTGCGCGAGGCCAAGCGCGGGGGGCGCCGCAAGGTCCTCCTCCAGGATGCAGCAGCAATGGAACTGCTCGCACATGCCGCCACCCTGCTGGCGCGCGCCCATGTCCAGGCAGAGATCCGGACTGCACTAGCCATGGCCCTTTTAACGGCTTTGCGCATACCCGATGGCGGTGTGCGGGGCATTGCGATGGGCGACGCCTTTCGCCGCCGCGTCCGCACGCTTGCCAAGCAATGGGCCGTCATGTTTGATGAAGTCACGCGCCCAGACCAGTTTGCGCTGCAAGCGCGGTCAACGCAGTGATGCACCTACGACTCCATGTCGCGGGCAGCTTTCCTGTCCAAGCTGCGAGAGATGGCCCCGGAGCTCCTGCCCTTCACCTGCATGTTTTACGGCCACCGCTCCGCATACAGCTGGTGGGACGACGCGGCGGGGCACAGGGAGGTTAGACAGGGCGAGGGGTGCGAGCAGGGTAACCCATGCGCCCCAGCGCTGTTATGGGCCCCGTAAAAAATATATTAATTCAGGGCCCATTCATGCTGTGTTAGAAGCCCCTCATAATTTACCAATAAGTATCTAGGGCTGTTACTTACAGCATTAAAAAGGGAAAAGGGCACGAACACAATATTGACAAAAGGCCCGTGCGTTAACTTACTGCCTTTTATTACTGTTGATTCGTGTTTTTTTTTTCCAGGTTTAGTTCGCCGTTACGCGGGCTCTATGAAAATATTAAAAGTGCGCGCGGAAAAAACCCAAATCTATTACTAAAAACGCGCATTCTTTTCACTCTTTGCCTTTCATGTCTCTGATATCCTCTGATTATAAATTGTATGCACATCATTCACGCGGTTCCTTGTACTGCTTTGCAAAAATGATATTCTCGGGCTGCGCCACAGATGACGAGGTCAAGGCGCCGCCGGTCAACCGGCCGCACGCCCACAACGGTTGTATCGGCGAGCCACTGCCGCGGCACCACACGCCCTTCCCTCGCGCGACCGGTGCGCTGACAAGTGACTCCGAAGCACCTCGTGGGAGGCGCGAACCTGGCATGGGATGGCCGGGCTGGCAGCGCGTAGCAACGACGGCCACTGACAAGCGCGTGCTCGAGACGCTATTTTCAGACCTTGAGCCTTCCCAGCGAGCTGGGAAACTGACATACTTGCCGCAGCAGCGAGATGTCAAGAAAAACGAAAAGGAGCGAGGAAAAAAAAAACCTGCCCCAACCCCTACAGTACCTCAAAGTTTTGAGCGTAAACTTGCATGCATGGGTGCTGCACAAATCCGAGCGCAACTCGGTAGGATGAAGCAGCTGTTTCTTCTTCGTCCCCGGCCGCATCAACGGGGCATGGGATTCTAACTCGCATTTATGGCTTGCCTGAGTTGGTGTGTGTGTATGTGGGTCGACCCTAGGCTACGAGAAGCTTTTGCAGTTCGCCTATCTCCGCTTCCGGCTACTCGGGTGCAGAGCGGGGTATCAGATTACTTATGCCGACGCAAGATGCCAGCCATTGATGTCGAGCCATGTAGGTGACGAACATGCCGACCCCACCGCAGCATTGGTTGAACAGGCATCTTCAATGAGCTCGCCGCAGTTCTCGCACATGCATGTTTTCGTTGCGTGTTTGTTGAGATAAACAGGCAGCCCGCAAGCGCCGATGTCTGCAGCTAAGTGTTGTGCTTGTTGTCAGATGCATTGACGCAAACATGGCATGCATGATGCTTTGGTTAGGGGCGTTGACCATGAAAACATAAAAACCCTAAAACCCGAAAGCCTCAAATCCTCGCATGTTCATCGAAACTGGTAGCGGAGCAGGTAGATCACCAGGATACAAGGGTTTTCGTTTCACCCATAGTCATCATAGAGTCATACACCTCTGACGCTATGTCCGTGGTGGGTTTGCGCAGGCAAGCTTCTCAATTCATCGCGGGCGTGATCACAGGGTTGATTCGGACGTTTGTGGAAGGCTCACGTGCCACCGTCCCATGCTGAATAGCCCATGTCTAATTAATGTGAAGCTGGTTCGACAGGTGGGTAACCATGAGCATTGGCATCCTGTCGTGGAAACGCCACCGCCTTTTGCAACATGGCAAACTACTTCTCCGCAGCTCTGGTGAAGAAATTTTATCAAGAACAGAAGTTGACGCTTGGACGCACAGAAAGCATGTTGCCGTGAACGTTGCCAGCACTGATTCCGTTCCGCATGCAGCTTGTGTTGCGTGATGTAGCTGCTGCCCCACAATTCCTAATTACCGATTAAGCGTGAAGAACAAGAATTGCCGAAACCACGCCCGCCATTCCAAGACAATGTAAGACCCGGTCGTTTGTTGATCGCTGAAGTGCTTCGTCATGAGAAGGAATACAAATACAGTATGTGTATGTACAATGCCAGAATCAAACTTCGTTGGCTTATTCAAAGCTACGACTTTCGGAGCGAGTGCATCGGTCATTGATTTTCTCCCGAGGACCAAATTTCAGCCATACTTCTGGAAGACTTCGTGTGGCTCTCCGAGTTCGCACTTCTAGCACACCGCTGCAGCAGGCCAGAATAGACAAGCATGGCAGGGTGAGAAGGGGAAAGGGGTTCTATACAGTTCTCGTCAGCTTGTGGAGAGGCTCTTGGTGATATCCTCGGAAACCCCTGCAGATGAACATCTCTCTGCTCGGAGTTCTCACTTGGTTTTGCCATGAGCATTGGTCTTTTTCAGAACTTTCTCCCGTCTCGTCCCGTGGTGCGCTCTCGCTTGCATTAGCAAGTGGGCACCACTGTGCAAGATCGCCAGCATTGTCAGCCTGGTGTGGCACGCTGAACGTGGGCCGCTGTACAAACGGCGTGACGATGAGTTTGAGCTGTGGCATGCCCCAGCCAAGCAATTATCTGGCTTGATTTTCGGGCCAGTCCAAGGCAGCTGAGCCATCTTTGTACCATTCCCTAGCAAAAAAACCACAGGTTTGACGCATTTTCTGGTCACTGCTGCAATTGCAAGTTCTTTGCAATGGGGGGCCGTTCTTGGGAGTCAGCTTGACTCGGCTGATGTCGAGGATGACCACGCAAGAGGAAGAGCTTAAATGAACGCATCCAATCTTTTCATAAACAAGCTTGTGATCGTCCTTGCTTCCCGGAATGAGTCTGAGTGAAGGTCACGGGCTGGATCGGGCAGCCTTGAAGCCAGGCTTAGATGCCCGGATGATCCGAGGCGTTTTGGCTGGCAGATTATCCAAGATGCCTGCCGCACTGACTGGTTTCGAGCAGGTCGCCCGAACATGCAAAATTTAGCCTGGCAAAGCCAGGCACCGCACACACAGGCTGACTATTGTGTCAGCATTTGTTCAGTAGTTCAAGTTGCAGGCCGTGCGGGCCGTGTGCCTGTGTTCTTGTGAAATGAGTTGTGTAGACTCGCGCAGGCGAGGGAAACGTCTTGGAATGTGTGATTGGGCGTGAGGTGCGGCCTGCATGCCTACGGCATGAACATGACCGAGTTGCCCTTTGGGCTTGCTTGGCACATGGCTTCTGAAAAGAGTTGAGCGGTGTAGCTGAGCAGGCGTTGTTCTGAAGCTTCATGCTGCGACTTAGAGCCAGATGTGCATTGCATGGTGTTGCAGCCATATGACGACAAGAAGAACCTTGCGGATGGGCGAATAGGGTTCGGCACTATGATGGAACCAGTGACCCGTCTCGCATCTGGCACTGCGCCTTGCAACATCAGGATCGCAGCACCATGTTCCTACACGCCGGCATGCGTCGGGACCTGGCAGGGAACAGCCCAGCCACTTCCGCCATTTGCGGCCGCTCAGACGACAGTGGCTAGAGCAGCTGCGCTGCGCGCTGTGCCGCGCATGATGCCGTGTCAATCAGGAACATCTCCTGGCTTACAGGGACCCTGTCGGGGTCATGGCTTCGCCGGCTATGCAACATATGCAGCCATTCCAGCTGCTTCGGGCTCATCGACCGTAGCCTCGAGCCAACCCCAGCCACAGCTTCTGTCACCTGCATTGCCTCCAGCGTCTGTCCAGCACTGTGCGCAGCCAGGAAGACTTGGGGCCCAGGCCCAGTTGCATGCTTCTCCTGCTCTGCCAACATCGTTGGGTTCGCCTCTTATGGAAACACCGGCGGTTCCCTCAGTCAGCTCGCCGCAGGGGTCACTGCCCTCACCATTGCCAGCCCCATGCAGCTGCAGATCCTTAGCTGGCGCTCCATCTCCGAGCATGACGCCCAAACCGGAGGTGGATGTGGCAAAGCCAGCTGCGCCACATGCGCCTCTTGCTAGCGAAGCTCTGCCCTTTCAATTGCCTGAGGCTGAGGCTTCTAAACCTGTCAAGAAGAAGAGCAAGGCTCAGAAGGCAAAGAAGAGATGTGCATGTTGCGACTAGAGCCGTTAGAGCCGTTTCCTGCATCCTTTGCTACAGCTCACTTGGCGTAGCGAGGGACATCCCGCAGCAATGACTGCTTGCATTATGAGCTTGGACATGCTTGGACAATAGCGGCAAGACTCCATAAAAGAGTTGGGTGCACGCTGCAGTGTTTGCAAGCAGCCTAGGCAAGTTGCGGCGTTTGTACTTACATTTCATAACATTTCATAACATTTCATAACAAGCAAAAGCAAGCGCAGCGTGCCGAGCCAGGCTCGACAAGTCCGACTTCATCGTGCAGTTTGGCTCGAAGAGAGCGCGAGGTCAAAGCCAGCGTACAGGATTGCTGGAGCTATGGCGGCCGCCATGCCAACAATGCAGGTAGGTGCACAGACCGTCGCTGCATTACCAACACAAGTTGCAGGCACTGTGATGCCAGGTGTCCAGACAGTGCCCGGCATCCAATATGCAGGCACTCCGACCTACCCATACATGGGTCAGAATGTGCCCATGCCCACGTATGCAAGTACACCGCTTGCCTCATTACCAACGTCAACTTGGATCCAGCCTGCCCCTGCAAGCGCGCAGATGCCGGCTTTCCCAACCACGATCCCAACTTCGCAGTATCCCGCACCTACCTATCCATATCCTGTGTACCCTGGTTCGGTCCCGTTGGCATCAGCTGCGCCTCACAGCATGCCGACAACCGTGGTGGCCCATCCAACAGGGGCTTCTTCCTCTACGGCCCCTGCCCCACAGCAGCCAGTTCTGGCCAGTTCTCAAGAAGCTGGTGTGGAGGCGAAGGTGAGTGCGGCGCCACTGGTTCCGGCGCCAACTCCAACGAACACGCCTGTAATGCATTCAATTGGTGGTGCCAGCAGCCCTGTGATGCAATCCATGGGTGCTGCCAGCACGCCCGTCATGCAATCACAGTCCCCGATGGCACAGTCTTTTGTGGTCACAGGCACTCCGACGGCCCCGATGATGACCTCCTTGCCGGCAGCTTCGCCAGCTGCAGCAGCAGCTTCAGCTTTGCCAGCTTCACCTTTGCCAGCAGCTGCGGCTTCAAGCCCTTTTGGAGTTCCGGCGTCCCTCCCGGCCACCAATGTCTCGGTTCCGCTGATGGATCCTGCAGAGTCAGAGGTAAAGACGCAGTCCAAGGATCTTCGAAAACCGGGAAAGAAGCCGAAGAAGGGCAAGAACAAGTTTGGCTGCTGTGGGTGCTGAGTTTCGGCTTTCGGGTCTCACCCGTGCCATGGCCGTTCATTCACATGTCTCGGTTTTTCGGCTGAGATGAAGGATTCGGCAGGTTTCGGTGCGAGGCCTTGGGCCTGCTGGAAGAGGAGCAGGTCCGACAGCAAATGAGAAAGACAGCAAATGAGAAAGTCCGTGCAGGGAAAGAAGCCTCCGTATGAAGCGTGTCATGCAGTTCGCCATCTGCACCCATGTGCTGCATGCATGCACCCGGAAGCGAAGAAAAAGCACAGCAAGCTTGCAGTTTGACCGCTTTGCTGTTGCTGCTGTGGCTCTGCTTCAGCTGTGGCTGCGGCTGAAGAGTTGCCGCTGAATCCGGAAGTCTGTCTGAGGCCAGCCCTGGACTTGCCCCCATTCTTGTTTCTGGCCTTGGTGCCAAGATATGCCTGACAAGTCCCATAGAGAACTCGTTTGCTTTTTTAAAGGGTTTTGTTGTTTTAAAGGTGCTCTTCCTAAAGCACTCTTCATGCAAAAGTGCTCTTTTCAAGTAGGAGGCAGATGGACGAAGGCCTGGACTTGGCCTCGAGCTTGGAGTGACAGAGCAGCGATCTCTGCGTCTCTCTCCCTCTCTCTCTCTGGCTTTTAAGGAATTCTCTCTCGGAGGAGTTTTCTCAGCTCCTTTCTCAGCTCTAAGCTCTCCACTGAAGGCATTGGCTACCGCATCTCCTCTGCGAGATCGAAGCAATGAGGTGGGGGTCGATCGTGTGCGATCGTGTGAGATCGTGTGCGATCGGTCGTGTGCGATCGTGTGCGAAGTGTTTCCAGAAGGCTTGTTGGTCCCTGTGCGTCCGATCACAGCATATCACACCATTTCGCTTCATGATCCGGCAGGTGGAGACTTTCAAGACCCCTGGCAAACGCCGAAGTCGTGGCGGAGAGGACTGCTCAGTTGATTCTGCATTGGCGCATTGGCGCATTGGGGGGGCGTTTTCTCGTGGGGGAGACTGGACAGGAGAGGCGCCGCTTGAGCCGCGACTTGGAGGAGCTGGAAGACTGTCGCAGGCTCTCAGTCTCATCTTGGAAAGAAGTGTGCAACCGTTGGGATGATGACATGTTTGACACCATTGCATAGGATGCGTGCAAGCAGTTACAGCACACATGCATGCTTTCAGGTCTCCCAGTGCGTAGTATTCATAGGAGTGAAGTTCGAACGGAGGTTGGTGACATTTGGTGACTGCGTGTGACTGTGATTTTGGATGTAGAGGCATCTTTGACTCTGGGGTGAGGTTTCGAGACCCAGGCATTGATGCAGACACCTCGAGTTCTGGGGCATTGTACTTCGGGGCCTCGCGCGATGTGAGGAATCGGTCATCGAAGTTATGTATAGTTGACGTCGGCAGCTGAGATTTGTCAATCACAGGCACGTCGCAGAGCCTGAGATGATGAGTTTCGTGGGGACCTTAGTTCAACGAAGCATCTTGCCTATGACAAATGGCGGTGACAGCTTCTAGGTCCTTGTGTGTAGTTCATGTTTGGGCAAGGATGAGATGCGTAAGCAGCTGCGGTCTCGGCTTTCCTTTCACGGAGCTAAAGCAGCCTTAACCAAGTCGTCGTCCTTGTAAGAGGTTCACAAGGCCTACTAGAGGTGCTGTGACGGGTGCCCTGGAGGCTGAGCATGTGGCAGACGCACTTGAGCGAGCTGTCTGCTGAGCAGAAGGAAGCAGAGAAGCTTCGGCAGGACTCTGGGAGCTTTTGCGGACAGTGTCCCGAAATTTTCAAATCTCCAAGAAGTCTCCAAAATGAATATAAATAAATAGATAGATAGATAGAGAGAGAGATATATATATATATATATACAATATATGAATATCAATGTGCCAACTTCTGCGGTAGAGGACACCTCCAGCCTGCGGAGTAAGCTCTCAAGCTGCGAGGCTTGTATCAGCTTGTGTTTTTCGAGTCCTTCAAGAATCTCCACACAGTTCATCCATGAATGAACTCGGTTCTACTTGTAGTAGAAGTCAGTCCACACCACAAGCGATGAGATATCTGCAGCTGCACGAGAATCGTCTGTGTCCGGCAGCTGAAGGAGATGGTGTCTTCTTAGATTCTTAGCTGTTGTTGCAAAAATGTCAGAGCTGCAAGGCAGAAGCAAGCGACAGAGCGAGAAGGCGGGTTACATTTTGCTGCGCGGCCCTTTGCGGGCAAGTTGTTGTCTTGGCAATGTCTGTTGGCATAAGAGGCCACTGTGGAGGTAGAATGATGGCGTTCTTCGAAAACAGGACAGGCAACAGTCGTGCCGCCGCCCGCAGCCTCCAGCTCAAGCGGGCTGTGGTTGATGAAGCTGTGCCATGTGAGCACGGGCCCTTCGTCAGCAAGGCCAGGCAACCATGCCCTTTACTTGCTGCTGTTTGAGCCTTTTTTGTTGTTTTATCTTATCTTGTCATGCTGCCGTTGTTGTATATTTTGCCATATTTTGCCACCCTCCCCAGGCTCTCCTTCTTGGACTCTGTCTCTGCTGTGCCGCAGCCTGTACTTGCCGGCTCAGAAACTGACCTGCAGAAAGTTCGCGCATGCTCACAGATATCGGAGCTTCGCCAGCTGCAACGAAAGAATCCCGCTTGGTCTAAGGGCAAACAGGCAAGCGGCCCGGCAGGCAGTGGGAAGAAAAATGCTTCGGTTTGCGGTGCGCAGCTTGCATCTGCTGCTTGGCCCTGCAGGAGAGAGTTCGAGTCAATGAAGCTCTTGGCTGCAATGTTCTCAGTCGAAAGCGTTTGCTTCTGGACATGTTGGGCATGTTAGCCAGCGTTGCAAAGATTGCTAGCTTTGACAGGTGCAGCTTACCTTTCTCACAGCAAATGTCCATGTGGCGGGATGGCAATTAGTTGATTCGTTTTGCTGCTAGCTGGAGTGCGGTGGCACGTGTTGTCTGCATAAAGGAGGTAACAACTCCCGTTTCCTTGTTTCCTATTGCTGCGAGGCCGTGAAAACTTCATACACCAGATCGCCACTTGGCAAGGTTGTAACATGAGTGCATCAGTGAGCCTCACCGGAACGTGGATGCATCGCGAATCATGATTCAGCCGGGCGTGTGGCAGTGTGGCATGTTGGCATCTGAGGTGGGATGCGGTGTGGCCAAAAGATCCATTTGCGCCTGACCGGCTTCTTAAAATGCATGTTGTTCACGTTGTCGGCAGCTGCCTCGAACTTCTTCGCCCAACTCCTCCGTCAAAATAGCAGCTGCTGCCGGCACAACACCAACAAAGCGTAGCTTGCACGAAGAAGCATGCTGCACATGTAGCAACGGAGCGTAGCTTGTCCATGCGAATTTTGGTTTGGCAGGGTGTGTCTGTGTGTGTCGACATCACTTCTTTCGGCACTTGTACTTCGCTTCTACACTTCTTCTAGCCGCCTTTTTGCGCTGCCATTTCGTCGAAGAAGGTTTTGAGGTGTCTCCTGGCAGGCAGCACCTGCTAAGCGAGTCCCGTTGCTTGTGTCGACCCTACGTGGTCTCATGTCACAGTTGGCCCGAGGATCCTATGAGCAAGCTGCCATACACCACATGTCTGAGAATGAACACAAACTCAGCAACCCAGCGTGGCTGTGAGCACATGGGACATACAAGTTGTGCAATGGCGAACCTTGAAAAAATCTTTAAGACAAGCGACATACATCGTCGTGCATAGTCTTTATGCAGCTTTAAACGAGCGCATTTCGGGCTTCGACAGTCGGCACCTCCCTGTAGGCGGTGCTTTTCGTTGTTTGTGCAACCTCGTGTGTGCGCGCACGTGCTGTCTGGCCAGCATGTTTTTTTTCACAGCCAGAGCTTTTTCCGTTTCCGCAACACACGATTTCTCCAGATGCATGGTTGTCACGTTCTTGCATGAAGTGCCTCTGTTCTACAATTTGTGTTAAGTCGAGCCAGCACCTCTTGCGTACTATTGTGGGACTGAAGTCCGAGCGGAGTTTTGGTTGACGAGGGGAGGATGAGGAGGAGGAGGAAGAGGCGGAGGAGGAGGCGGAGGCGGCGGAGGAGGAGGAGGAGGATTCTGCGGATTACCGTGGCTGCTACCATGATATGTTTGCCAGCTGCAGGCAGCTGTGGGCTTGTTTTCAGGGGAGAGCACCTTTGGCATTCGAACGCCCAAGCCGTTCCTGACGCGTTGCCTCAGAAAGGCTTGGAAGTCAACCCTGGAGTTCTCTCTGATGGTTTTGTTCTTGCAAACCAATGCTGCGTGCAGGCCAACTTTGCCTGGGGTCGGGGTTTTTTGGTAGGTGCAGAACCTGAAAGGAACACAGTGAAGGGTTCTTGAAACAAGCTGCGGGGTGTGTTGTCTGGAGGCAGCGCTGTGGGGTTCGCTTCGGGCACACTTTCCAACACGGGCTAGGCCGCGAGGCCCAAATTCCCAAAGTGAGGCACGAAATTATTCTTGGGGGTTTGGTGGAAGGGGAGGAAGAAGGGGAGGTTCGACACAAGTGGGCCCGAAAGTCGTGCGGGAACTTCTTAACGCCCCTTGACCGACGCGCAGGGCCCAAGGCCGAGGTTTTTTTTTGCTGCATGCTGCCAGCAAGTGGAGTGTCGCCTGATGGTTATGAGGAGGGAAGGGGTGCAGGATTGCAGGATTCTGCTGGCTTAACTTGGCCGGGCTTGCCCTTCAGATTTAATGATATGGCGTATGCTGACAGCTTCTGCTGCTTTCAGACTCAAGACCTGAAGGACAATTTGGTTTCAAAGACCATCTTCGACGAAGGTCGGCTTACTGGAAGAGCTGATGAAGAGACATACGACAGGCTGTCGGTGCTTGCATCTTGAAGCATGGGGTAGTTGTTGCATCCATTTATCAGTTTCGTCTGCTGTCAGAACCTTCGACGCGTGGGATACGGACTCTGACGACACGCTCTCCGAGGTGGAGCTGTCGCAGGCGCTCCGTGGAAGTTGGAAACATTTGGAAGCATTTTGGAAGCATTTTGGAAGCATTTGGGGAGGCTCATAAGCTGTTTGATAATGTTTGATGCTTGGCAGGGCTTGGCGTCTGGGCATGGCCCCCTTGCAGCTTCGGATCCTTCTCGGCAGTTCCACCTCCTTGATACAGATGGGGCATCCTGCCAGCAGGGCATGCTGAGTTTGTGCACTTTGCAAGTGCTTCCGAAAGCTTTGCGTCAATGCGCTGCAGAGAAGGATGGTATTATTTCGCGCACGGAGTTTGGGAACAGCGCCGTGCAGGCAGCAGCTTGTGCTCGCCTACGCAGCTCCATTGCTGAGCATTGCTGAGCAGGGCTGTCGGAGCCGAGCAGAGTCAACGTTGCTAAAGTTGTTAAAGTTGCAGGCTGTTCGAGCAATGGCGGAGCCGCATGCTCCAGTTGCAAATGCTTGTGTCTCGCCGGAGTCGAAGGACACTTGCCTTTCACGTTCTGATACACATTGTGTTCTTAGTTGCTCGCCTTCGGGCATGCACAGGACAGTGATGGGTACGTTACCACAGAGATCTCTCTGAGTGCTGAAAGCTTCAGTGTTGTGGCATCTTGCAGCCCCGGAGTGCTGGGACATGCCGTGGCTTCTCCATGTCCTCGCTTCTTGGCAGCTGAAGTTCTTCATATTCTTCATGCATCATGCACAGTTCATGCACAGTTCTCTCTCCTTTTTTGGCTGAATATCGCTGCTTATGTCCCCCCCTTTGCTGTCAGGTGCCGGGCTGCCATACGTTCTCGCTGGGTGTCACTCTGGACAAGGTCCCGCCATGTCAGCCGTGTCATTGTATGTAAGTATGTATGGCTCGGAACAAAAGCGGCTTATGTGAGCCTTAGTGTGCATGTGAATCTCGTTGTTCGGATTCGGAGTTCTGCTTAGTCCAGGAGATTTGCCAGCAGCTCCATCCCTATCCCTGGAGCATGCGAAGAAATCGGCGGAGGTGGCCTATCCTGAGTTTGCGAGTATTTGCAGTGTCTGGGAACTTGGTTTCATTCAGGAGCTCGTCGCTCCTTGCTGGGCTAAGGAGTGCCGTCCAGGATATCATCGGAATGGGCAGTCCGAGTGTGTGCCATATACTTGCGCAACTGGAAAAGGATGCAAAGCGTGCGTCCCACAGAGCCTGAGAACTCGAGATGACCAGTGCTCCGAGTGTGAGCCCGGCAACAAGAAGACGTTGGATGGTGTTTGCGAGCCGTACTCCTGCCTCACAGGCCACGGTGTCACAGCAAGCGTGAGCGAACTGTGGAGTGTGTGTGTTCTTGGTCTTGAAGGCGATGGCGCTGCTTGTAAGGTGTGTCTGCCACAGGAGGAGCGCACGGCCGATGGATGCTCGCCAATTCACAGAAGGCATTCATTGATGTGACTTGTGATGGTCGCGGAATGGTAGCGCTCTGAGATGTCATGGCAACTAAGGACAGTGCAGCGAATGCAATGCTGGCTATGAGATGAACGATGCGCATTCCTGTGGATCTTTCACTTGCAGCACCGGCCCCGATGAGGCATGCAAGGCGCAACATGGGGTCAAGTGGGGGACAGTCGGGCCGCAACGAGAGCGCAGTTGCAGAGGGCGGCTTGGCTTTTGCAGGTTTGTCGAGGTGAGGCTGCAAGCAAAGACCACCAGCCGTTGGTGACCAGAACCTCCGTCGGAATGATGCTCGGCAGAATTCCGAAGCTCAGCAGTTGCAAAGCCGTGACCCGCAGCAGATGCATCTCAACTCCCATTTTCAGGTCTTGCCCAGATTCGCGAAAGCTCATCATATATACCAGCAACAAGCCGATTTCCCCCGCAAACTGTGCCAATGCTCTCTGCAATGACAACCGCTGTGACCAGGTTGGTTCCTCAAACAATGCTTGAAGTTTGGGGCACTAGAGAGGGTCAGCGAAGCAACTCTTGTTGGGGGGGGACTCCTTGTTGCGCAGGCGCAATTTGAGATCCTTGCAACCGACTCGAAGTTCTGGACACTTGGTGAAGGGTTGGCCTATGCCTTGGGATGCCTTGGGATGCCTTGGGGGGTTCCCACCGACCTTCGGATCCTTAGGGACATGAGTGAGCTAGTACGTGATCTAACGAAGTGATGCGCAGTGCATCTGAGGGAATGCTCTTGCATCAAGACCGGGGAGAAGTGCACAGACGAAGATCGCAAGCCGTCTTCGCCAACAACATCATACAGCCTCAAGGAATGCACTGCGCCGGTTGAGTTT